TAGGAATCTAGGAATCCTTGGACAAGTGTAGCCAGTTGGGCAGGTACCTGACACTATTTAGGTAAAATAAGTATAACATACTCTTTGACTCCATTCTTGGGTATATACTGCAAAAAAATTTTCATCCTGGTCCATGAAGGAACATGTTTCTCCCTTTGTTTGCTGTAGTCATGTTTATGGTGGCAGAATATGGTGGTACCAGGGTGCCCTTCACAGGAGACAGGGTAGGTAATTATGAGGGATGCACCCACAGAGTGTTCTGCAAAAGTTGGAAGCAATGGGTTAGGTGTATCTACAGGAACATGGATGGATGAAACACTGTATGGAGGGAGGAAAAGAAGTAAGAAAACCGTCAGATATATAATTGCTTTTATGTGAATTATAAATTATAGATACACAAATCAAGATAACATTTTGCAAGAATACATTCACACAAAACAATAGTCGTTAAATACATTGGGGCCATTTGCATTGACTCACGCTTGTAATCCCAGTGCTTTGGGAAGCCAAGGCAGGAGGATTTCTTGAGCCTAGGAGTTTGAGGTTATAGTGAGCTATGATCATGCCACTGTACCCTGGCCTGGGTGACAGATTGAGACCTTGCCTCTAAAAAAAAAAGTACATGGAATGATTGCAGTGAGAGGATGGAAGTGGGATATCTGGAAAAAGGTAGCTGCATAAGTAAAATTAGGAAAATAATAGTATCTACCCTGTAGGTTTGCCTGGAGAGTTAAATGAGATCCCACAAGTAGCAAGCTGGGATTGTGCCTTGTGCCTACTTAGTCTTGGCTACAAAGTAAGGTGGGCTGGCCAGGACCAGGGATGTGTGTATAGCCCTTTTGCTGATCCTCCCTCTTCTCTTCTGTCCCAGGTCTTGTTTGCCACAGAGACATTTGCTATGGGTGTAAACATGCCAGCCCGTACAGTGGTGTTTGACTCCATGCGCAAGCATGATGGCTCTACTTTCAGAGACCTGCTCCCTGGGGAGTACGTGCAGATGGCAGGCCGGGCGGGGCGGAGAGGCCTGGACCCCACAGGCACTGTCATCCTGCTCTGCAAAGGCCGAGTGCCTGAGATGGCGGACCTGCACCACATGCTGATGGTGAGCGGCCAGCGTGAGGCCAGCCCAAGCAGGGGCCCAGCTCCAGGACCTGCTGGATTCTCTCTTCCAGCCCTTCTCTCCACCTCCCCTTTTTTATTTTGTCTGGGAAAAGCCAAGGTAGGAGTGAACAAATCCAAGGGTGAGATTGGAACCCATCTCCTCTAGCTTTTCCCTCTGTGAATACAGAGCCGGAGTCTTTGAAAGTCTGTTTATTTTGATTTGCTCCCTTATGTTACAGAGGAGGTGAGCAAGTGGCTTGTTGAAGGCCCCACAGTTGCAAAGCTAGGACTAAATCTGACAGGATTTGACCCAGTCCTCAGATAACTGGTTGAGGAGTGGTAGGTCCCATCCCAATCTCACTGATTTCTCTGACATGGCTCCAGGGGAAGCCATCCCAGCTGCAGTCCCAGTTCCGTCTCACCTACACTATGATCCTCAACCTGCTACGGGTGGATGCCCTCAGGGTGGAGGACATGATGAAGAGGAGTTTCTCTGAGTTTCCATCCCGTAAGGACAGCAAGGTAAGGAGGTGGAGGTGACCAGTACACGGAGCAGGAGGTTAGACAAAGCCAGGCTGGAAAGAGATGGGCATCAGAGGCCAGTGTGATAATGGTGGGGGCTGTGGCAGATTGGGTCTAGGGAGTTCCTTTTCACAACCTCCCCCTGCTTCTGCATAGGCCCACGAACAGACTCTAGCTGAACTGACCAAGAGGCTGGGGGCCTTGGAGGAGCCTGACATGACTGGCCAACTGGCTGACTTGTCTGAGTATTATAGCTGGGGGGAGGAACTGATGGAGACCAGGAACATGATCCAGGTAAGCTAGTGTGAATGTTGGGGAGATGATGGAGGAAGTGAGGACAAGAACCCGTCACTCTGGGTCTGCTCCTGAACTTAGTCCAAGTGTCTGTCCCTGTGATGTCTCTTCCCATATCCCCTTTGTGCATGTCCCTGCTCTTCAGCGACGCGTCGTAGAGTCCGTGAATGGGCTGAAATCTCTCTCAGCAGGAAGGGTGGTAGTTGTGAAGAATCAAGAGCATCACAACGCATTGGGTGTGATCTTGCAGGTGAGGGCAAAGGGAATTTGGACCACAGAGGGTGAGAGGCATCAAGCCCTTTCCATCTTTCCCACTTGGCTGGGGGCAGGTTGCTGTCACCACAGGGCTCTCATTTTTTTCTCTTGCCCTCCTTTTTCACACTTTCCCTTCCCATCACCACCACTTCATGCTTGCCTCTTTCCCCCCACCCCACAAGAAGTCTGCTCTGATTGCTTGACTTGGTTACCTCTTCCTGTCAGTGAGCTCTGCATGGTTGCTTCCTGATCCCTGCCCAAGAGTGGAATGTGGTCCTTACCTTTGATGTTCATTTCTTATATCCCCCTATCCTGGCCTCCCTTACTCTCCCAGGTCTCTTCAAACTCTACCAGCCGAGTATTTACAACCCTGATCTTGTGTGATAAGCCCATGTCTCGGGACCCACAGGACAGGGGGCCGGCCACCCCAGATGTTCCCCACCCAGACGACCTCGTGGGATTCAAGTTGTTCCTGCCTGAAGGTGAGAGTGAGGCGAATGTCCAACTTTCTGACACAGTGGTGTAAGCAGGATGACTGGGTCCATGGCAAGGTCTGACCCAATCTCCCCTTTTCATAGGGCCCTGCGACCACACCGTGATCAAGCTCCAGCCAGGAGACGTGGCTGCCATCACCACCAAGGTGCTCCGGGTGAATGGGGAGAAGATCTTAGAGGACTTCAACAAGAGGCAGCAACCAAAATTCAAGTCAGATGCTGGGGAGGGACTTTACCCGGAATGTAGTATGGGGTGGGGTTGGGGAGGCTCCCCTAGGCTGAGGGAGACCATGAAGTGGGAGATGAAAGGAAGGGTCTCCCTTAACTTGAGGGGGACCAGGAGGTTAAGGGCTGTTTTGAAGGGGCTGAATATTATAGCTGGGGGGGAGGAACTGAGGGGGCATCATGAAGTAGGAAGGTGTATTTTTTTTTTTTTTTTTGAGTCAGAGTCTCACTCTGTTGTCCAGGCTGGAGTGCAGTGGCATGATCATGGCTCACTGCAGTCTCAACCTCCTGGGCTCAGGCGATCCTTCAATCTCAGCATTCCAGGGTGACTGGGACTACAGGTGCACGCCACCACACCTGGCTAAATTTTTGATTTTGTGTAGAGATTATGTCTTGCTATGTTGCCTAGACTGGTTTTGAACACCTGGGCTCAAGCAATCCTCCTGCCTCATCCTCCCATAGTGCTGGGATTATAGGCATGAGCCCATGCCTGGCCTGGGGGTGGGGTGGGTTATATTATTTTGAGGGGGCTCCCCTAGCCTGAGGTGGGCTTCAGTGGGAGAGAGGCCTCTTACCCCAGATCTCAAGACCTCTTTCTTCCTCAGGAAGGATCCTCCCCTTGTAGCCGTGACCACAGCTGTACAGGAACTGCTGCGTCTGGCTCAGGCCTACCCAGCAGGACCCCCCACCCTTGACCCTGTCAATGACCTGCAGCTCAAGGATGTGTCAGTGGTAGAGGGTGGGCTCCGGTCCTGGAAGCTGGAGGAGCTGATCCGGGGGGCTCAGTGTGTGCACAGCCCCCGTTTTGCTGCCCAGGTAGGGTCCTGAATGCCAGCTTCCAAGCTGGGAGGGGGTGCTTTTCCTCTCTGGTCCCCTGTAGACTGGCTACCCCCATCTCAGTCCGTGTCCTTAGTGCACCCATGCTGAGGGGTGAAGGAGAAAGCTGACAGTGGCTCTCTGCAGTACCTGAAGCTGCGGGAGAGAATGGAGATACAGAAGGAGATGGAGCGGCTGCGCTTTCTGCTGTCGGATCAGTCGCTGCTGCTGCTGCCCGAATACCACCAGCGAGTAGAGGTGGGAAGGGCAGGGGTAGGGCTAAGGGGCTAGATAAGAGGACAGCCGGCTTTCCAACACCACACTCTTTCTTGCAGGTGCTTCGAACCCTGGGTTATGTGGACGAGGCAGGCACTGTGAAGCTGGCAGGGCGGGTGGCTTGTGCCATGAGCAGCCATGAGCTACTTCTTACCGAGCTCATGTTTGACAATGCACTGAGTGCCTTGCGACCTGAGGAGATAGCAGCCCTGCTCTCTGGCCTGGTCTGCCAGAACCCTGGGGACCCAGGGGATCAGCTTCCAAGCACTCTCAAGCAGGTAGGGGATACCACCCCTTTCTCCCTGCCTAGGCCGTGGTCCCAACATCTTCCCCGCCAGGTATTCCTGAGGTGACCCCTTCCAGCCCAGTAAATGACCCAAGGATGGGAATGGCCTCTTCCTTGATCTGAGCCTTCCTTATCCTGCAGCAGAAAGGCAGAACTTAATCTCTCCTTCTCCTCTGCAGGGAGTAGAGCGTGTCCAGGCTGTGGCCAAGCGGATTGGTGAGGTCCAGATGGCCTGTGGCCTGAACCAGACAGTGGAGGAATTTGTGGGGGAGTTGAATTTTGGGCTGGTTGAGGTTGTATATGAGTGGGCCCGGGGCATGGTGAGTATCTGGGGTTTGGGGTTTTGTGGCTGGCTGGCTGGGGAGAGGCTGCCCAGGCCGAGCACATTCAGTCCTCACCCTGCTTTCCCTACAGCCCTTCTCTGAGCTGGCAGGACTCTCAGGGACCCCCGAGGGCCTGGTGGTCCGCTGCATTCAGCGCCTGGCTGAGATGTGTCGCTCACTGCGGGGGGCGGCCCGCCTGGTAGGGGAGCCTGTGCTGGGTGCCAAGATGGAGACAGCAGCTACCCTGCTACGGAGAGACATTGTCTTTGCAGCCAGCCTCTACACCCAGTGAATGACCCCTAAGTAAAAACATGATAATAAAACAGCAAGTAAAAACGTGATAATAAACCAGCAACCCACTGTGTGCTTGAGGTGTTGGGCAGGGATGACTCAGCTCAGAGGACAAACCATTTAGAAATATGCTTTTATTATCTGTGCACAGAGATAGGACCAGCCCCTCTGAAGTGTCACTACTTGGGGGAGGGAGTTTTGGGGGGTGACAGGAGATCTTGGGTCATGGCTTCCACATACCATGTGGGCAGGAAGGCATAGGGCGCATCTCGATGTACAGACATGGTGACTGGGCCGCCAGGCTCCCAGGAGAAGAGGTAGACAAGCCTGGGGGAAGATGGAGGCATGTGTTGAGGGCCGGAAGCTGAGCTCGGAGCTCTAGGATCCAGAGGGGAAGAACAGAGATGAATGCCTCACCTGGGGTCATCCTCGACAACTGTGCTCTGGGCAAAGCTAAGGAAGGCGGCACAGAAGTTCATGCACACAGAAGGATTCCAGCCATCACGGTCATTCTGGAGCAGGCAAAAGAAGAGGTGGAAGACTAGCTGTGAGGATGGGGAGGTGGGAGAAGGGGAAGGCTGACTACAGCCCTGGATGCTGGACGCCTGGTCTTGGTGTGTGGGGGATACAGGTGGGAGCTGTGACACCACTGCCTTACCCTGACGTATTCAAACATCTCCATGGTAGGAAAGGTCTTGAGGGAACAGACAAAACCCTCTGGGTTACGGAAGCCAGCAACAACATTTGGGACTCCTGGGAGGAAGGACTGAGCCCACCACTTCAGGAGCTTGTGTCTGTCAGGAAAAGCAGGGGATCGGATCAGTGGGACCCCTCCTCCGCTCTCCATTTTGCCCTTACCCTCTCCACAAATCCCTTTCCTAGCTGTCAAGTCTAGGCCCACCCCTATCCTGAACCTGTAGAAGTTCCTCCATTGGCCAGGGCTGTGCATCTCCTTGGAGGTCTTGAGCTCCACATAGCAGGCGGGGGACTGTGTGGATGGGACCTGGGGGTCTGTGCAGTCTACCTCCCCTGAGAAGAGCAGAGGGTAGCTTCCTAGGCGGCTGCGTAGCACAGAGCAGAAGGCCACGTTGGTGTTAACCTCCCCAGAGGGGTCTGGGGAGCCTCCAGGTTTGTCTGCACAAGGAGAGAAGCAGCAGCAGGGGGGTGGGGTTCTCAATCTCTGGGGAGGGGAAGGGGTCTACAAGAGCAGAGGCAACTCTCACCTGCACACATGTAGTGCTCAAACTTGTGCCCCATGTACATAAGCTCCCGGAGGATGGGTGGCCGAGCAAGCCTTTGTGCCCGAGCGGCTGGCGTCTCCACCTCACTCAGGTACAGTGTTCCCTGGAACCGGGAGGCTGCCAGCTGCCAGCCCTCCTGCTGTTCATATGGTGTCGTCAGCAATTTTGTCAGGTGCCCCCGCCATGTCACTATGGCCCCTGCCAGCCAGCCTGGACCCCTGAGAGGGAGGAGTTACAGGCTGAAAGTCTGAACCAAGCATTAGTCAGATGCTGCCCAAAGAACAGCCTAAGTTCCTTCTAAGGACTGAAGGAACTTGTTCCAATTGCTATCCTAGTTTTGGCTTTGGCTTTCCTAGTTTTAGAGCATAGGTGCCAGTCTTCAGATCTACTTGTGTGCTAGACTTTGCTCACCCCTCCAGCTGGCCTCGGTGTTCCAGGAGCCAGCGTAGTAGGTGGTCCAGCCCTTCTCGGACTTCCTCATCCCAGGGCTGGTATCGGTCAGGGTATCCATCTCTGAGGTCAAAGTTGGGGACTGGACCGTTGGTGGGGGGTGGGCTATAATAGCGCAGGGCTCGGGCATCTCCATGGTACTGGCGTTGCGCATCCAGGGAGAAGCAGCCCAGTTCTGAAGGGCGCCGATAGAAAGGAAAAGGCCCAGAGTAGAGGGCAGGGTCTGTAGGCAGGGAGGGTGATGGGTGGAGGAGTTTGTTCCGAGGTTCAGCTACCTCCATCTTCCCAGCTCCTCTCTTGGTCCCTCGGGGTTCCATGAGGTCCTAAGAGTAGGGAAACGTTTACCTTTCACAGAGGAGACCTGGAGAAGGGTGACTCCATGTCAGGACTTGTGACTGAGATTTTAGCTTTATGCACTCTGCTTTAGCTTAACAGTTTTCCTTGAAGCATTTTTTCTTCTGTCCTTCTAGGACTCCCTTACACTGAGAAGCTTATCTAATTCTATGCTTTCTTAGAAATCTCAAAGGCTAGTCTTGAAGCAAGCCAGACATGAAGGACTTTCTGCCGAACTTTGCTTGCTGAGAGAGAGCTTTGAGACAGTTAATCTGTACTGGCCACGATCAGAGTAAGGCCAAACAGGCCCCCGAAAATTCTGGAGACTAACTCTAGAATAAAGCAGGCCTGAGCTTCTTGCAAAGCCTTCCCACCTGAGGGTATTCACAGACGACTGATCGACCGGTCTGGCCACAGCCAAGATGACACCAGTCAGACCCCCAGGTGGGCAATTATTCGAGACAGCAATTGGAACAAGGACATTAGATCCTACAAACTACCCCACTCCCGCACATTCCCATACCAATTTCCCTTTGAAAACTTTCTAACTGGCCCGAAATTTGAGATAGTACTCGAGACATTTGTCAACTCGAGAAGACAGCTTCTTGGTAAGTCCGTCTTTCCATCTACCAACTCTCCTCTCTCCAGTTTGACTTTGAGCAGCGAGCACTTGGACCTGGGTCGGATGACAGACTAAGTGAGCCTCCGGATTGCCAGGTCTGGCGTTGAAACATGCAAGCCCCAGACCCTCAAACACAACCACGGCCAAGCGCTCATCCTCCTCTTTCCTATACCCACCCTCCCCACCAAATCCTCCAAACGAGTGAGGTTAGGAAAAAAGTCTGAGCTCAGATCAAGGATCAGGGTACCTCAAAGCGCCCCAACCTCAATTTCCACCTTCGCAGGACTATGACGTCATGGCAGGCACGTCAGAAGACGAAGAGGGACGCAAAGATGTTTTTCTGCTTTCGATGATATAATCATTCAGCGACAGTGGCGGGCAAATCCCTCAGGAGTGGGGGCGGTGAGAGTTTTACACCAGGCGGTTGATCCCAAAGTGGTCACCGGCGCCCCTCCGTATCGCCTCTGAGTACTGGGACGTGAATGGCCTCCGAGGGAGCCAATCAGCGGTAGACATGTATCCGCATTGGCCCGCCCTCCCAGCAAGAGCCCGAGAGCGGACTAGTGGATGCCTCTTTCGTCATCACGTCGTGATACTTACAACCGGTCACCTGGTCTCCGAGGAGTGACGCCCAGGGAGGTCAACGTCACTGCTCTGCGCCGGAAGACCCGATTTTCTCGTTCTCGTACCTCATTCATACCCCTTCCTCGGTGCCTAAAATCCTGGGATATGAGCCGGAAGAGACATCGCCTGGTACCTGAGACCTTCGGATTGAAGAGACAGCGGAAGCAAGGGCCTGTAGAATCGGATCCTCTGGGGAGCGAGCCAGGTAACCATGGGGGCCTCGGGGCGGAGCTGAAGACCCCAGAGGGGCGGGGCCTCGCCTCGGGTAACCACGTCTGTTGATAGAACAGTGTTCATGCAGTTCCGTTGGCCCCCGCCCCAGGTCCCACTTAGTGACCCGGTCTCTGCCCAGGGTCAGCGCGCGCGGCAGTCTCGGAGCTAGTGCAGCTGTTCCCCCGAGGCCTGTTCGAGGATGCACTGCCGCCCATCGTGCTGAAGAGCCAGGTGTACAGCCTCGTACCTGACCGGACGGTGGCCGACCGGCAGCTGGTGAGATCCCTGTAGGCCCTTTCCATGTCTCGCGGGCACTCCTGAAGTCCCCAGTCACTCAATCACTCAGTTCTCTCAGTCAACCCGTCGGCCTTTCCGCAAGCATTAGGCCTTTCTTGAGAGGGCCACCGTGCCAGGCACTGGGCTGCGACAGAGAATGCTACAGACCCTCAGGCAGTAGAGGCCATGCCAACTCATGGAGGTGGAAGAACGAGGTTTTTGAAGAAACGGAGTCATGGTGCATGGTTCGAACATACAGCGGGGCGAATGCAGGCAGATGCCAGATTTCTCAGGAGGAATAGGCCTTGTACATCAGGGCGGTTTCCGTCTTACACTGAAGGCGATGAGCTGGTAGGGAATGTTAAACAGGAGAGGGAATGGTGTACTGAAGATAATGGATGAGGCAGGGGAGATCAGTTCGTAAGATACTGCAACTGAGAACTGGTGAAAGCCTAAATTAGGTCAGTGTAGTGAGGAGGGAGCAGATGAGTGAGGGATGTGGAGAGTGAGGAAGAGAGAGGAGTCCAGGATGACTCCCAAATTTTCTAGATGACAGACTGAATGGTAGCTGGTGGAGTCAAGAGTACAGTGAGTTGTTGGGGAGGAGATGGTGTGTTTAATCCTGTACAAGTTGAATTGATGGTGTTTGTGGAACAGAATTCTGGGCCAGTAATATAATTACAAATTTGGTGTGTGAGTAGCAAGCAGCTCAGTCTGTGGATGTGGGTGATGTCCAGTAGGAAAAGCAAGCAGAGGGATGACTTATAACCTTTTCATAAGCTTTAGGAGGTGATGAAAGCTCTGGCTATCTCCAGAAAATTGCACATATGCCATGTGTATGTATACACAGGTCTATATACAGTTTGTGTATACGTGGAGGTGGGGGAGGGTGTTTCACAGGTCCTCCAAGGTCAATGGTTAAGGACCAGGTTTAGAGTGAAAGATAATAGGGCCAAATCCACAATGCTCGGAGACACCATTATCTAAGGTAGTGTTATTCAACATGTGGCCTGAGTTCTACTTGTGTCAGTATTATGTGGGCTACTTACTCAAAAAATACAAGCTCCTGGGATTCATCCAAAGTTAATTAAGATCTCTTGCGAGACAGGCATGGTGGCTTACTCCTGTAATCCCAGCACTTTGGGAGACTAAGGTGAGAGGATTGCCTGAGCCCATGTTCGAGACCAACCTGAGCAACATGGCAAGACCTTGTCTCTACAAAAAATCAAAACGAAACAAAAAAAATATCCGGGCATGGTCACGCATCTGTAGTTTCAACTACTTGGAAGGCTGAGACAGAAGGAACACCTGAACCCAGCAGGTCGAGGCAGTGGTGGCTGTGAGCGTACCACTGCACTCCAGCCTGGGCGACAGAGTAAGACTCTGACTCAAAAAAAAGGATCTCTTGCGGGTGGGATGTAGGAATCTATATTTTTGAACTACAGCTTCAAGTGCTTTTCAATGTACATTAAAATTTGAGATCCTTGCTGGATGTGGTGACTCACACCTATAATCCCAACACTTTGGGAGGCCAAGGTGAGAGGATTGCCTGAGCTCACAGGTTCGAGACCAGCCTGGGTAAATTGGCGAGACCTCATCTCTACAATAAATCAAAAAATTACCCAGGCATGGTGGCACATGCCTGTAGTTCCAGCTACTTGGAAGGCTGAGGCGAATGGATCACCTGAACCCAGCAGATCAAGACTGTGGTGGCCGTGAGCGTGCCACTGCACTCCAGCCTGGGCGACAGAATAACACTCCAACTCAAAAAAAAAAAAAATTGATATTGACCGATATAAGGGAAAGGCAGAGTAAGAGAAATTTGTGAAAAAGGCAGAGGAGTTACCTGAGTTAAGAGGAACCCAGGAAAATGCCTATTGTGAGATTTCCAAGACAATGGGACTAGTGGCATTAGTATCAAATCTGTCTGTTGGATTTAGCAGGTAGAAGATTAATGGTGATTTATCAAGACAAGAGGGAAGAAAGGGAAGACTAGCTCCAGTTTCACTTGAGGAAGCAAGTCAGATGGAATCACTCCTTAAAGAGTATTTGTTGTTTTAATGTATTGGTGCTAGCTTATATTTTTTTTAAAGCTTTAAAAATTGCAAAAAATAAAAAAAATACAAACACATACACACATAATTTATCTTTTCTTTTTTTTTTAATCGAGATCTCATTCTGTTACCCAGGCTGGAGTGCAGTGGCATAATCACGGCTCATTGAAACCTCAGTCTCCCGGACTCAGGCAATCCTCCTGCCTCAGCCTCCTGAGTAGCTGGTATTGCAGGTGCATGCCACCATGCGTGGCTAATTTTTGATTTTTTGTAGAGATGAGAGCTTGTTATGTTGCCTAGGCTGGTCTTGAACTCCTGGGCTCAAGCAGTTCTCCTGCCTTGGCCTTCCAAAGTGCTGGGATTACAGGTGTGAACCACTATGCCCGGCCCTGAAACCTCTTTTTTCAGGGAAGCACACACAATATCCTTGACCCAGAGTGTCTGAGTATAGCAGAGCATTCTGCCCTGACACCTTTCTTTTCACTCCTATCTCTGTGGAGACAGAAGGATCTTCAAGAGCAGGGGGAGATCAGAATCATCCAGCTGGGCTTTGACTTGGATGCCCATGGAATTATCTTCACCGAGGACTACAGGACCAGAGTATGTATGACTGTGTGTGTTATAGGTGGTGGGAGGGGGATATCAGGGAAATTGGGGAACAGAAATACAAACAAATTTTCCTGTCCCACGTATGGAGAGCACACAAGGTTCTGGTAAGTAGTAATGTGAAAGAGAGAGGGGAGGAGGAGGAAGGGTATGAGAGGTGGAAGAAACTGAGCAAGAGGGAAGACAGTAAGAAGTGCTATTCTGAGGATGGAGGTTGGTGGAGGGTAAGGGTGGGACCAGACTATGTCTCTCATCTCTCCTTTCAGGTCCTCAAAGCCTGTGATGGCCGGCCATATGCTGGGGCCGTGCAGAAGCTTCTGGCTTCAGTGCTTCCAGCCTGTGGGGACCTTAGTTTCCAGCAGGACCAAATGACACAGACCTTTGGCTTCAGGGACCCAGAGATCACGTGAGACTTGTGGAATCAACAGAGACAGCCTTTGGCATCCTCCTGCCTCCCTCTAGTTCCATCTGGCCTTATCCTTTTCCTTCTGGTGAACCTGCCAAAAAAATGCTGATTCTTTTTAAATAAAATGACCTAAGTTTGTCCTCCTCTCCACAAGAGAAGAGTTCTGTCTTACTTGGGGCCTTGGAAAGAGCCCTTGACTAAAGTTCAGGAGATCTGAGTGGCTTATCAAATGCATATAGGGACCTGGCAGGAACCAAAAAAGCTTGATGTTAATTATACTAGGACCAAGAGGATAGAGAGTGGTAGGAGCTGGGATGTCCCTAAACATTCACATTCAAAAAAAAGAAACCTCTAAAGCAAAAAACACTCAAGTAGGCAAGGGCCAAATAAAAATATAATTTTGAGGGACTTGGGTCGCCTACTTTATAACCCATGATATATGTGAAAGCATTTTAACTCATTTGCGATCACTGATGTGAATTTATGTCATTCCAAATTCTGTTCCTGGTTGCCGCTGATGTGAATTTACGTCTTTGCATTGTTTCTGAGTGCTGCAATGTTGTCATATGTATGTGTTACTATATTTTGCTTGAAAATGAATAGTGAGGCAAGGAGAAAGTTAATTGGGATAATCATCTGATATCAACTATGCAATGTTGTTACTGATTTATGTGGTTGGTAAATATTGCAATTTGGTCATTATTTTGTTGCTATTAGTGTTCTATACTTATATTTTGATATTTCAGGGCTTTCAACGTTAAAAATAATTTACCTTAATTATGGAAAATGAAGAAATATATGCTGTTGAGATTTCCAAGGTCGAAGGTGAATTCAGTGGACTTATTAGTGATAGTGAGACAGATAGTGATGTAATGATGCACTGTAAATGAAGATATATATATATATATATATATATATATATATATATATATATAT